ACCCACCCCTTTAGGCCTCAAGGATACCCTCACCTATACCCTGAAGATAATAGCAGTGCCTCTTGTAGCATGGTGTCCAACAATGGTTAAGATTAAATAATGTGATCTGAGAGTCACAGTGCCCTCCTGCCTAGTCTCAACAACAAGGACTCAGGCATTCTATCAGTATGGATTATGGATAGCCTATGGATGCATGGTGGCCTGCTGTGTGTGTGGCAGTGCATTGGAAAGCACACCACCTGTTTCTCTTGGTTACTTTCTTATTGCTGAGACAAAATACCTGGCATACTCAAGGTCAAAGGAGGAAAGATTTATTGTTGGCTCACAGTTTTCATTTGTTTGTTTGTTTTGTTTTTGGTACTTGGGATCAAACTTATGACCTTGCACTTGCCAGGAAGGCACTTACACCACTGAGCTGGATCCCTGGCCCTGACTCACAGTTTATAGAAGTTTCATCCCATGGTTGGCTCCAAAGCAGGGCAGGATGCAGAGAGGTATTGCCAAGGAAAAACAGTTCATGGCAGGGGAGTCAGGAAGCAGGGAGAAGCAAGCCTCCTCTTTTCTTTTATCTCACTCAGGGTGTAGGCCTATTTGGTTGATGCCACCCATACCCAGGGTGGAGCTTGCCATTATCCACACTCAGAACTATGCTAAGGAAATCAGTAGACTGATTTAGTTATCACACACCCTTCATCCATATTCATACGCCCTAAATACTCCAACTCCAAACAGCTCCACCTATGAGCACATTAATCTTTGGGGGGACATTATGATACAAGCCATAACGCTACTCATATAGTCTCTTCTCTAACTACTTCATCTTAAGACACAGCTTCACCAAGAGACATGCCAGATGCTACGGGATTCCCATGAAAATCAGTGTGCCAGTTCATCTTGTTTGTCAGCTTTATCAGATTAAGAGGGTCTTGGAGAGATGATCAGATTGTGAATGTGTTAATCCATCAATGACTTCATAGCTGAGTGAAGTGTTATATTGAGTCCAGTTGAACCTAGCTGGAGGAAATAGGTCATGGGGGAGACTCTGGTGACTCTATCTGGTCCCTAGCCTCTTGCTCTCAGGTTCTTTGTTTCCCAGATGCTATGAGCTGAGCAACTTTTTCCCCTTCCACTCTGTTTCAGCAGGCCATGGACTGAAACTTCTGTAACTGTGAGCCTTCCTTAAATTGTGGGTGTCAGGTGGTTTGTGCCAGCACCAAGAAAATTGATTGATGCAAGTAGAGTCAGTGCCAGCTTCATGAGAGAGATGATGGTTCTTGGGCTGGATGCTGAAGGATGGTTAGGATCTAGGAGACAGAATAAATTATCAGGACAAAGCATGAAGACCAACAAGCCCAGGATAAAACCGGAAAACTATGTAAAGGCCATGCTAGTTAAACCTTTAAATAACGAACTGAGGAAAGTGAACTTTTCTAAATTTTCAGTGAGAGCAATTAAGGGTGTTGTGTATGTGCATGAATGCATACAATTTACTTTTTTTTCAATATTCCAAAAGTAGTGTGTATGTTCATCATTTTAAAAATTAGAAGACAGAGATAAGCAAGAGAAAGAAAATTACAAACACCTGAAATTTAAGGATTTTGCATGCAGAAAAGGCAGGATCAAATAAGTGTTTTAAGAAGATTAATCTGGCAGTGTTTGGTAGAATAGATTAGAGCAGGATGGGCTGGAGGCAGGGAGATTTTTCAGGTTATTGCAGTAGCACAGATAAGAGGCAATAAAAACTTAGACCAAGCCCGCTAGTGATGAGACAGAAGAGACAGCAAGCGTGGAGGTGTCTCTGCCTCACTCAGTCACCCTGTATTTTCTGCACATATGTATATCTGCCAGGTGCATTTTAAAACATCGTTTCTCCTCCTAAAATCTCAGGGTGTCTCCTGCCTCCAGACACAGGGCCAGGGTCAGACAGTGGTGCTCAGAGCTCTAGACCTCCCTTGCTGTTCCTGCAGCTGAAAATACCATCTTCAGTGTTAGTGAAAGCAAAAGATTACAGTTCCAGATTCGACAAGGCAGAGCAATCACAGGCTATTGAAAAGAACGAGTTAATTAAATAACCCTCTTAAACTCCTTATCATTTCCTGCTCTCCCAAACTGCGGGTGGCCTTCTTTGTCACACTGGAAAGACAGCTATTCTGTTCCCCAGGATTTATCCCAGAGTCCCCTGGCACTGTTTAGATTTAGTTTTTACTTGGGAAGCAAGCATTGCCCTCCTCTTCAACTGAGGGAAAACTGAGGCCCCAGAGAGGGCAGAATGAAAAAGGAGTGCAGTAGCCTCTGGGACCAGGCTGACACAGCTTTGAGTTCTACACTGCCACTTACCAGCTGTGTGAACCTCTTCGAAACACCTGACAGCTCTTCTGCAAAACAGAGAGGTCTGCCTCGTAGAGCTCTGGAAATTATTCCTGTGTACACCCCAGTCCCTTTTCACATTGGTTGACATAGGATAGATAATCAAAGAATGTGCTAAAATTATGAGAGAAAGCTTCCAAAACCATATCTCCCTAGTCCTAGCGAGCACCAGTGTCTTTCTTACACCTCACCTGGGAATTGGGACCTATTGGTTGGTCACCATTCCTTCTCTCATGACTTACAGCCCCTCTTCAGGGCGTGAGCTTCCCTTCTCATGAATCTAGTGAAGTTGTCTCCCTGGGCAAAACACATAAGCACTTTCATTCTTTCTTGAAAGCACTGGGTACAAAAGCTGTGAGCAGAACCTTAAATGGAGATTCAGAGGAGCCCACATTGCGGGAGCGCTGGATAAACACAGATTTCAGTTTGGCAGAAGTTTCTCGTTATTCTTTATTAATTCCTGCTATCACCTCGCTAGGCTCTTTCCCCCAGCCCAAATTCCTTACAATCCATGTAAATTATTGCTTGGTCTCTGCGTGATTTGATTTCATTCGAGGCTGCTTAATGCTCAGGCTGTCCCTGCTGTGTTTATCTTATTGTTTCCCAGAACAATCAAGTGCTTCCTCTGCCCCTGGATGCTGCTTTTTTTCCTGGAGTCCCTGGCCTGCAGAGACCTAGAGCAAGAGCAGTGAGTGAAAGATGGGACAAGTTCCTGAATTATCTCTCAATGTCCTTGTCCCTGCCTGGGCCTTACAGTACAAAGCCCTCTGCCCAGAGGTGGAATCAAGAACCCTGATTTTGCCCCCTCTGCCTTGCCATCAGTGTCCCCTTGGTGGTGGAGGGAAAGCCCTATGGATAGAGACCTGGCACCTGTGTGAGATACAATTGGTCACTAACCATAAATAGGAAGGTACAAAGCAGGGGTTGTACTCTCTGTTCTAGGAGTGGCATAGATAGGTCCTTTGGCCTCCTCTTCTGGCTAAGGAAGAGCAGAGAAGCCGTAGTTTAGCAAAAGAAAACTGTCACAGAATTCTGGGAGTCTGGTGGGAGGATTATAAGTTCAAGTCCAGCACGGGCAACTTAGTGATTTAGGAACACCCTATCTTTACATTTTTTTTTTATCTCTACATTTTTTAAAAATTTAAAGGGCTGGGGATGTAGCTCAGTGTGAATTCCCTAGGTTCAATCCTCAGTACCTTGGAAGGAAGGAGAGAGGGATGGAAGGAAAAAGAAAGAGCTGATCTGTGGAGCACCATCCCCCCCGCCATTCTCTCCAACCTGACCCTCAGTGAGCATCGACCTTCCTCAGAGGTGCTCAGTGATAGTCACAGTGCCCACTAACCCTTGATAGGCTGTTAATTCTCAGACTGTCCCAAGATGCAGAAGTCCAGTGCAGTAGACTCCTCCCACGTCCCAGCAGAAAGCTACCACTCAACCCGCCTAAACTCTGGATGCCTCTATCACTGAGCAGCCCTCTGCTAGTTCTGCTCTCACCCCTAGCTGAATATAAGGCAGATTCATACATGCACAGAAATAGAAATAATCATACCAGTAAATGTCAATCTCCAGTGTCAAAGTCCCGGTGATTGACCGACAACTCACTGGGGACTAGTTTTGGAAGCATCTGAGTGTGTGTGGATGGTGTCTGCATGTGTGCGTGTGTGTGTGTGTGTGTGTGTGTGTGTGTGTGTGTGTGAATTAAAGGTATTACATCTTAGCAACCTTCTTCCTCTTTGTCAACACAGGCAAGAGGGACTTTCAGCACTGTGTCCTGCTCTTGCTCTCCTCTTCTGGCTAGGGAAGTCCACAGGCGACATCATCCAGGCTCTGGAGTCTCCCTCCAATTACCCAAGCATTTAGGGCCAGGCTCTCCACTACTCTCCGGGGAGCCCCAGCCTGCTGTGCTGTGACTCTGTGCACTTAGTTAAGTTTCCTCCTCCTTGCTCAGAGGGCAGGGCAAGTTGCTGCTGCTGGTGTGTGTGTGTGTGTGTGTGTGTGTGTGTGTGTGTGTATCTGTGCACATGCAAGCATGTGCATGCGCATATGCAGGAACAGGAGGAAAACTCTCAGAATCTGAATTTACCAAAGCCTTCAATCTATAAATAATTCGGGTCATGAAGCTGTACAAAAATAAACTCCACTCCTCTTAAATAAAAAAAATAAAAAAATAAAAAATAAACTCCAGCACGAACCGCGTCTCGTTGTGCTAAACATACAGATGCTTGCTCATGAATGCGCTCCCAGTACAGCATGAGCAACGCAGAGCCTCTCCACCTTTGCTGTCTCTGAAGATCTAAGTGGGCACACGTCCACAGCTCACACCTGACAACCTGCATAGCCCACGCATGGTGCACACGCTCACATGGTGCACACACTCTTACAGCGCAAGCGAGAGAGCCCAGCAATAGAGGAGGGCTCGTCTATAGAGAATCTCATGACAGAAGGTGCCCAGACCCTAAAATCATTGCTCAACCCTCTCTGGATCAACAGTCAGATCCCCTTCCAAGTGGGCCCATCCAAGAGACCAGGTTTCTAAGAAATCTGGACCTAACCATTAAATACTATGTTTATAATTATATTAAATTTTATACCAAGAACTCTATTTCCACCCTTGCTTCTCTGCAAGGCCTCACCTCCTTCAGGAAGCCTCCTGTGGATCCTCTTCCAGTGGCCAGATAGGCACTGACCACTCGCCATGCTGTCCCCTTGAGTCCCCACACAAACCTCTTCTCATAGGCCAGCTGATATGTCTGTGAAGACCAGCTGGATGGTCCCTTTCCCCTTCCGCGGTGCCCTGAAGGGGTCCCATGTTGTTTATCACACTTGGCTCATGGTGTAGGGCTCGCTCACATAGTACGTAAATATTGGACAGCCCTGAATTCATGGCCGATGACTCATTTCATTTTCACAATATCCTTTTTCCACTAGAAGGAACAGGAGTTACCACCCTATTTGGTAGTTACAGAAACGATTATATAAACAGGTGAAGTGACTTGCCTGTAGTCACACCAGCTGCTGATAAGAAAGCTTAGGGTTGGGATCTGGCACCTCCTTCTGTACTGTAGTGCCTGTCAAACCAACCTCTTTTTTACTGAGGGACATGAGAAGAAGACGCCCAACTGTACCTCTCTTCAGCAGTACTTGCAAAAAAATTATGACTACAAGCCCTATTTCTGCTATAAATGAATTCATATTAGACTGCTTAATCTCAGGGAAGGGCCCTAAAACTAGGTAAAAAATTGATGCAAAAGGATGAGTTTGCTGGACCCATCGGTAAGCAAGTTAATTGGATAGGCTGATTTGAGTTGGATGTTCAAGTAAAGAGGCTGTCATTAATGTTTGTGCCGACATAGCCATGGTTCAATGAAAGCTCCTAGAAGGGGTCCTATTCCATTCTCATTTCCAAGGGGCCCCTCCCACCTGGAAATCTGGACAATAAGCTCCCTGGGCCTCACCTCACATACCTCTGCCCCAAAGCCAGCCCTGTTCAACTGAGTTTTAGTCTCCACATTAAGCCTCCAAATTAAGTTGAATTAATTTAGCCCCTGGAAACCAGGCAATTGTCCCAGTTGATAGAGGTATGGAAGAATAGTAGACAAGGAGGGACCTTGGCCTTCTGAGTTCTGCTCAGCTTTAAGAACAGCAACACTTGCTCTTATGGAAGATCAAACAATGATGGAGATTTTGGATTCTATGTGCAAACCTCACTTCTGCTACTCTTCAGTTGTGTGATCTTCAGAAAATCACCTAACTCTCTTGGCCTCAGATTTATCTATAAAATGGGAACAATAATAGCTTTATGTCAGGGGTACTTGTAATCATTAAATGGGTTACATTTTGTAAGCTGACCTCAATAGTGCTGAGAACATTGTAAATGCTATATATGGCTGCTATTAACAAATTAATTAGGTAAACAGGGCCCTTTGGAAATGCACCAAGTCTATCTAACTTCTTTCAGGCAGGGCCACATTGAGCTACAGAGCTTCTGACCATCTGAGCCTGTGCAAGCTAAATGACGCAGTAGTTGCTACATGTCCGTCCCTAAAGTTAGGCCTTCTCTGGGCACCAGCTAGAAAACCATAGTAGATGACTCATCCCACCTGTCCCTGTCACTTCCTTCTTCTGTTCTGTCCCCAGATCCTTCCACTGCCTGGCAAAACATTGAGACTAGCGCTGCTTCATCTGCTAATGCCATGGTCTTGCACTGCATTTGTGGTTTACTTCAATTTACTGTTGTGCTATTGTCAGTGAAATCTGGTCCTGGGGATGCATGCTTAAACACTGAAGAGAGCTGACACTTTGTGTGTCACCATAGAATAGACCTGACAGGTTGGCTTTAAAATGCCCGCTTTTATTTTGGGATCCCCTGACAGCCCCTCACCATTAGACATTCTGTATTTAGGAAGCATACAGGACAACTTTGAAGCTCACAGCTTCCTTGGTCAGTAGGAGCTATGCATTGACCATCTGCTTTCCTCTGGACTAAACAGGCTGGAGCCAGACTGAGCTCCTGTTCCACTCTTGACCTGGTGGAATGAAAGAGTTTCAATTATGAATTTCAAAGCCCTGTGGTTCCAACCATGATAAGTCAGTGATTCTGCTGTGACTGGACAGCTTAGCTGACATTTGGTACCAACATCTTTCATTCTGGTTTAGTTTTAGTTCTGCCTTTGGAAATTACAGATCTGATTCTGGCTTCTACTGCTTTATTGAAAGATTGAAGTTGCAGACAAGGAGTTTTTTAAAGCTTCTGATTAGGCCTCTGATCCAGTAAAAAGCGAATGGTTAGGACTAGTTCTTACTGAATGCAGCAGTGTGTGCTGATAAGTTGCTTTTGGTTCAGTTCCAGGTCTAACCTGGCCACCACCTGGTCCCAGGGACTGCAGAGAAGACCAGGTCTATAGCTTTCCTTCCTCCTTTAATTTCATGTCCAGATCTTGCTGGGAATTCTAGGCCAGTGCCCAGGTTCATAGAAAGGTCAACCAGCTGCTTGAGGCAGGAAGTCCTGGCCAGGCCTGCAAGAGGGCTGGTTCTGAAGCTCCTGACCCTGTGCTTTGGGGAGACCTCAGTCTCCCTGGAAAGGACCAGCTGTCGTGGAAGGTTAGGAGAGGCACTGAAATATTTCCCTTCAGACTGACCCTCAGGCTTGGGTTAGAGCGGACTGAGAATTCCCAAGGCTGTGGAAGAGAAAACTAAGGCCACGCCATCCAGAAGCCATGACTGCCGCAGCATCCTCTACATCCTGTAGTGATCCAAGGGCGTTAATGACTCGGAAGGGGCCAGGAGAAACATGGGCCTTGCATCTGCAGGAGAATGGTGCTTTGAACATTAAGGAAAACCATTTTAACTGAGGGTACTTTTCCCAGATGGAGACCCTGTTGTGCTGAATCTCACAGTTATGGCTGCTCTGGAGTAGATGGCACATGCCGCACCCATGGCATCCAGGTCCTGCTCCTAGAGGCTCCCCTCACCGCAGAATGAGGCAAATGGTTCCCTGCCCAGGCTCCCAGGAGGAGGGGCTTTAGCGATGGTTGTCATGGCAACAATTTGGAATGTGCAAAGACCTCTGATGAGCTAGGAAAAAGGGCAAAGGTGGAATTTAGAGGAAAGAGCAGAGGTGCTGGGGTAGGAGTGGCTGAGTCCAGGCTATATAGGTTCCACTGACCTTTCCTCCTCAACTTCAAGTCCATAGCCCTCAGCTATTAGGTGAGGAGGAGGACGTGGTATGTTCCACCCTAGGCCTGGCTTCCTGCTCCTACCCCTGGGGTTGAGGTACAAGAGTTTCAGGTAGAAATCTGCTGTTTCTGCCCCTTGGGAGCTCCAGACCCTGAGCTGCCAAGCTCACAAAGGGTCACCATCTGCCTCAACACTCTCTCGTCCAGCCCAACCCCGTGGGTGCAGATTGTACCCTGACTTGTTCTCAGGAGGGTAGAAAAATAGGGATGGAAGATTTGGCCCCATACCCCCAGCCAGCCCTGCAATAGATAATACTGGTGACCCTCTTGGTTCAGCCCATAAGAAATGAAGGTGCCTCCACTCATCCCGCCTTCCATGCTGGCAGCAGGGATGGGCACTTCACTTGGCCCAAGGGATGAGTAAGTCCTGGTTCCTTGCCATCAGTGTGATAAGGAGAAGTGGGCGGAGGGAGGAGATAGTACAAGGGTGGTGCAAGGGTGTAATGAAGGAGATCTATTCTTCATGGATTAGCAAGAAAATGTCTTTTGTCCTCACTTTGATTTAGCACTAAAGAGTCCCTGATTACATGTCCATTCCACAGCGTGTCTCAAGCATTCCTTTGTATTAGTCATGCACTGGATCCCCAGCCCCACGCACATCCACAGAGGGCTGTGGGGGAAACAGAAAACCATCCCCACCTTCAGAATGCTGACAGAACATAGGTGCATCTGAAGTAATTAGAGAACAGCTCAAGTAGGTGCCACTGCCTGTTAGCCATTGATTGCAATCCTGGAGCAAAATGGTTGCAAGGAAAAAGGCATCAGTGTAGGAGCAGTTCAGTAGCCATTAGAAAGGTTGAGAAGCCTTCCTGGAGGAGGTGGGGCTTGAGCCAGAGGGTGTGTAGGTGGGCAGAGGATGAAGAACATGAGCTAGGGCAAGGAAGATTGGTCTAAGGTCAGCTGCTAGGCTAGAAAAAGAACCTGAGGATGGAGAATATTGGAGCCAAGGGCTCCTTGCTCCCAACTGTTTGCATGACCTTAGGACCTCTCTCCTTGAAGTTTCAGAATTATATTTGCAGTGCTCAGCCGAATGACGTTCAGGCCCCTACATTGGCAACTCTTGGCAGCCCCTGGGATTCTGATAGAAATGCATATATGCAGGGTCACCCCTCTCAACCTCAAATTCTGGGAGTGGACACAGCCTTGAATATAGGGAGGCCTTTGACTCCAAGGGCATACTGGTTTGAGAATGCTGGATTATAATGCTGCTTCTCAATCCAGGCTGCTCATTTAGTTCACCTTGGGAGCTTTTAAAACTCAATGACAGTGTGTAGATCCCACCCACAGAGATTCTGATTAATTAATCTGGCCCTAGCATTTGTATTTTTTAAAACTTCCCATAGGACTCAACTATGTAACCAGGGTTGAGAAGTACAGGTCTTTCTTATTGTCCTGCTGTGGGTTTGGGGAAACTGAACTGGGATTCCTGGTTCACCAATGCTCACTGGGTGGACTGGCAGGCAGTTTGAGCCTGTGTCTAGAGGAAGAAAGACTATTTGAAGTCAAAAATCTTGACTCTCTCAGTGATCGGCTGTTTGATGGTTTTCATAATTATCCAGTATTCCCCAGTATCTGCCTGGGACAAGGATACGTGTAGAGCTGCTGACTCTCATGTTGTAAACCCAAATAAGTGTGCATAAGCACACACTCATGTGCATATACATGTGTCACATAGCACTATAAATGTAGATAAAGACACAAGAATGACCTCATACGGATGATGGAAATCATTCCTAAAGGCATAGGAGCACATACAAATAAAGTACCATCTGTGATCCCAAGCCCGGCACACTCAGATTGCTGGGAAGGAAATTCCCCTTGATGGAAGCTGGGATGTGTGGAATAAGTGGCTCTTCTTTCTATACAGTAGCAATGGAGGGAGTAGCAGTGGTATTCAGTAAGCCCCCTCCTCTATGTAAAAACAGAGAGACCAAGGGAAAGCTAATGTAGATACTGAGGACACCCTTGTTTCTCTTGCAGATTCGAGCTGATGGTCCCCCCCATGGTGGGGTCCAGTATGAGATGGTCTCTGTGCTCAAAGATGGGAGCCCCATCCTCCGGGACATGGCCTTCTCTATTGATCAACGCTACCTATATGTCATGTCCGAGAGGCAGGTAAGTGGCTCACACCCTTCCCTCCTTTCTAGACTACACCACTGGTAATCTGTCACCTTTGTTCAGAAGCTTTTCCAT